CACAGAGTCTCAGTCAGTGCGGTATTGTAAATGGTGCACTGTTTTGGCAGCAGTTGGTACCTGCTCTTCTTTAAAAGACTAGGTAAGGTGTTTAATTGTTTAATGTTTTCTGTCTCCACAGCAGCTATCCCAAAAGCCCAACAACTTCCTTTTGGGTCTTTGAAATAACCACTCCTAAGATAATATATACCAAGAATACATGGAGCCTCTGCACCAGTCAAAATATGTTGTTTTTTCCATTCATTCCCAGTCAAGGTCACCTCAGCTTCTAACAGAGTCAACTGCTGAGACCCCATGTTACCCCAGCAACGGAAACAGGTCCTGTCCCCACAATGTCGCGATGGCATCAGAGTATATTGAGTGCCAGTGTCAGTCAAAGCTTTGTATTTTTGTGGTTCTGATGCACCAGGATCTTGGATACACACAATCCAATAGACACAATTTTCCCATGTCTCTATCAGGCTAGAGGCAGAGCTCCTCTAGTTCTGGCTATCAATCACTCCCTGAGCATACCTTCTGGAGGTCCCTTCAAAGGTATATGACATGTGATCTTAACTTCTGTTCTGCCCAGGAACACACCCACAGGAAACTGGACCTAAATTAATTCTTGCCGAGTTTCCTTTGTTAATAGTTTCTTCTTTTAGTTTATGTACTCATGCTGCTAAGATGGAACTGGATTTTCCATCCTATCTTCTCATGTCTTCTCCATATTCACAGAAGAAGAACCATAACTTGCCTTGTGGAGTGTACTCGCTCTCCCTAGCTGTGGGATGCCTACTTCAGATAGCAGGAATTCTGATCTGTACTGGTGAAATGTGAAAAAGGCCCTCCCAAAGCTCCTTTCTGAGTTTCTGATGGGTTTCTGGTGGCTCTCTGATAGCTCTCTTCAATCCTCTCTTCCAGTTTCCACATACACTCTGTCAGGTCTTTTTCCAAGGCTGAGACTTTGGCTCAGGTTAGAATGTGGACAGTGTCTTCATATGTCTGTAGCCTTCTTGTGTCATAGTACTCAGTGTCTTGTTTTCCTCATTCCATTGCAGCATTACTAGGAAGTGGGAGTACATTTATGTCCCAAACTGTGCAAGTTTCAACCACATTAATGTTGTACAGGGTCTGGAATTCTTTCATGTTCATCATTAGCTGAGAAAATAATCTCAATCACAGCCAGTTCTTTCAAGCTTTGGATTCCTTGCTTGGTGGCTTTCCAAAGGCCTTGATGCTGCTGGAGGTGTTCTTGGCAAAGGTATCTCTCCTCAACAATTGCTAAGAGTCACATCCAGAGCTGAGTTTAGGCCTCCTTGCAATCCCCTGGTTGATACCCATTTCACACAACAGAAATCCCAAGTGCCTTGCTTCACTGCCATCCAAAATTGTAGCATCACCTGCAGTGTCCCAGTCCCTTGTTTTCAGGACATATCAGGAGACAGAGGGCAATACAGGCTTTGGAAGTGTCCACTGGTGACATAAGGTGTTACCTCTCTGCTGTTTACTAGTTTCCTTTCTCCCTTTGGCTCATGCTTCTTTTGTAAAGACCACAATGCAGACTGAATCTTTAGAGGATTGTCTTTTCTTTGAGTTAGATTTTTACTGTCTTTTAGGATAGGGAGAGAGAGGATGCAGTTGGGGAGGAGGTACTGAAGAGCAGTCTTATTTTTTTTTAATGAAAACCATTGTGGACTGTGGAGATCTCAGGACACCTCTTCCATATTCCTACCATACTTGATGCCATGATGCCACATGACCAGGAGTAAAACAGTAGATCAATTTAGCTCTTAAAATGCCAATGGAAGCTTCCATTGTCTTCAGGGCATTTCCTGGGCCTGAGTTGATATGCAAGCTATTGACTTTAATAGAAAATGTTCTGATATGACCACATTTTTGAATACTTAACATGATGCATCTGTGACTTTCTCAAAGAGATTAACTCAAGGACATGTCTAAAGCTATCAGTTTGAAATAGTAGGCAGATTATAAGGGCATAATCATCCCTTTTTCATCAGCTTGCACTGTTTCTTTGTTTCTTGGATACAGTTTTAATTTACTTATGTTTTAATGATATGGACAATTTTTCTGAAGCCAAGTTATGGAAGAAATTACTCATAACAGTTAGCATTTGAATGAATTGACATTTATTTTTCATTAACTTCTTCCTGAATACAAAACTGTGTTTGAATACTATAGAATAAATAGAACAAGATACTGCACAAATACCTGGGGGATATCTGACTTAACTGTCTCAGTAAGTAACATAGAGAAAGAACTAATTTGCCTGCCTGTTCACCATATGTTAGTAATAATATTTATAAAGCATAAGTATTTAGTGCTATAGTTCGGACAGTTTTGTAGCAATGTATTGATATTTAAAATTAGTGCAGCCTCTCTCTTATCTCATTTAGTCTTTGAGTTTGTCAACTATATTCTCTAAAAAAAATCGGAAACTGTTTCAGTTGACTTGCTTTTCTTCTGATTTTATATACTTTGCTTCTCTAATAGAAAGATGTTAGCCCAGACAAAAATTAGTTCACTCTGAAAGTATGAAATGTAAAATGTTAACAGGCTTTTGTGTATTATTGGAATAATTAAATATAGTCAAGAGACACTTAAGTGTAAACACATTTTGTAAAATATTTCCAGGGTCTATTTAGCTAGAGCTGCTAGGCAGCATGGAGAGTGCTGCACCATAATCTGTAGAGTAGACTTCAAAGATCATTGCAGAAACAAAGTGCACAAGATGGTCAGAGCACAAATAACAGTTGTGCGTATCCCAGGCTCTAATCTGACTCAGATGCAAAACCAAGAAATGGGTAAATATCTATCTTCAATTTTCTCTGTAATGAATTTCAGCATTCTATCAACTTGTTGTCAAATGCACAAACTTATAATCCTCAAGTGTTACATCTTTTGAGATCTCTCGTGCATTACCTATAACTTTTACCTATTGATTTTCAAAGTCATATGCTGTTGTGATGCCTGTTGTTTGAAGTGGCAAATAAGAACTTTTCAGTAGTCAAATCCTTTATTTTTTTATCATTTCAGGAGTATTTTTCATCTCTGTTTCAGAGAAAATGATGATCTGAAATATGTGCAGAGGTCAAAGGATGTGCGTGTTCCAGATTTACATTTATATGAAAGGGAATGTAGTATCTGTGGGTTTGTAAGCATATGTACATTCTTACACTGCAATTACTGAGTCATTTGCCTGAACGGAGCCCTTTGTTTTTGTATTCCTACTGCAATAAGTTACACATGAAGTAGCCCTTGCAGAGTAGTATGATGGAGTTGTAGTCCAGAGGATGTAGTGAAAAGTCTTGTTTCCCAGAATTAATTGTTCCCACAGCATTATCACACTATATTCTTGTAAAAGTATATTTCTATGCATTTAGGTTCTTCTCTCTTGGTTGTATTGACAGAGACATTTGTGGTGCTGGGAACTGACCAGGACTGGCAAATTAAAAAAAAAAAATTAAAACAAAATTAATTACTTTTCATCCATCATATAATTATTTGGGACACTGTTAACTATGCAACTGATTGTACTTATGGGTTGGGAGGAGGAGGTGGTTATAGGGGGTGAAGATCAAGGCCAACTGATACCATCAGTGTTGCAGAGCTGTGGTTGTGAAGCATCCATTATGTGCCACCCATGGGATTAGGTAAGCACAGCAGTCTTGGGCCTGTACACTGTGGTGGCCTGGGACTGGAATTTGAGCACAGCTACTATGAGCAAGAGAGGAATCATCAAAATATACTTTGTGAGACATTCCTAAAAAGGACAGTAGTGATTTGTTTATAAATGAATGCTGACCCATTTCAATCTTCAAAATCTTGAGCTGGTATGCTAAACTTGAGCTGTTCTTCCTCTGGTAATCTGTAGAGACTGAATTGAGAGAAAGAGAAAATAAATTTGTATTGTGTGCTAGATAAGAACATTCTGGTATTTTAAACTCTTTAAGAACATCCATATCATCTTCAGAGAAATTTCAACTGGAGCCTAAACTACTGTTGTAATACTACTACTAATGGTGATGATGATGATAATTATGATAAGAGTAATGAAAATATGAGAGAGACAGAGAAATAACATCCAAGAGAAACAAGTGATGAACAATACCATTGCTCACCTCCTGCTGACTGATGTCTAGTCTGTCACCAAGTAATGATCACTGGCTCCAGTTTACATATTGGGCATAACGTTCTATGATATAGAGTATGCCTTTGGCCAGTTTGGATCACCTGTCCTGGTTATGCTCCCTCCCAGCTTCTTATGCACCTGCTCACTGTCAGAGTATGGGAAACTCCAAAGTCTGTGTTTTGGAGTAAGTACTACTTATCAACAACAAAATCATCAAGTGTGTTATCAACATTATTCTCATATTAAACCTAAACCACAGCATTTTACTAGTTAAGAAGAAAATCAACTCTAGTCCAGAAAAAAACAAAAAACAGGACAGCAAGTTTGCTTTACAAAATCTCATACAGGAATATTTTGAATTAATAATAGCAGGGAAGTAGTGCAGGTTCTCAAAGGTCTTTATTTTATATATGCATAATATATACTAGGCAATTTTTTTAATGTGGTGATTTTACACCATATGACTCAACTTTAAACATGCATATTGACCAGTTGAATCAAGTACCTGATTCTGAGGCTTCAAACAGTCTTTTCCCTTCCTTCTAAGAATGCCGTAGAGAAGAAAACAATTTAGGAAGTTTGTGCTTAATTGAAAAAAGGAATACTAAAACCAATGTGCTCTTCAGAAAACATCTAATATTTCTCTTACCAAAGATTAGCCACCTGGCTTCATTTGCATAACTCCCATTTCTATGTTTGTGCAGAAAATCCTTCATCCTCTTCCCCATCCCTGAAAGAGGAATGAAGAGTTACAGACAAAAGCATTACTGCCAATAATTTGCAGATAACAAAAGAGACTGGAGTGTGTCTGATGGTGGTTTTTGTGTTTCTCTTTCCTTGCTGCCTTCACTGTGATGCTATCCAAAAGGGAATTTAGAGCTCTAGTCATTGAGATGGTGTTGGCTACCGATATGTCCTGTCACTTCCAGCAAATCAAAGCTATGAAGAATGCGTTGCAGCAACCAGAAGGGTGAGTCATTTCACAACATAGCCCAGTGAGGGGGCTGCATTTCAGCTGGTGCTTTGCCAATGTGCTTAACTTCAAAAGCACCTCTCCAGAGGCCCTCTCTTTCTTTGATATCTACAGCAATTTTCTTTCTGCTGGTGAACTTTGAATTAATTCACTTATGAAGGTATGGGCACATGCCTACCTGCACATCTATATTCTGTGCTGGTGGCCCAAAGCTTTCAAATGTCACCATTGTTGGGACCAGCCTCATTGGGCATTTCCCCGGTGGGTATCATCAAGCACATGATTCATTAGAGTAACCTCTATAATTGAGTATGACTTAGGTTATAAGACCTGCAAAACATAACATGCACTTTGCCCTTATTCAGATGGTATCAGCTGTCACCCCCAAAAGGGACCTTCTTAATAAACAGAGAACAGATGAAAACTTGAGGTCCACTGAGGGAAGGCCTGAAAAATAACAGATGGAGCAGTATGGGGAAAGCCTTTTCTTCTTCCCAGTATGCCACTGGGCGTTGTAGTATTTTGTCCACAGCTTTTCCTCAAAAATTCCTTCTACATTGCCTTGAGTGATGGTCAGTTATTCACCCTGGACACAGTTATACCAGAATTATACCTGTATCAGAATTATATCTATATCAGTATTATACCTGTATCAGAGCAGGGTGTTGCTAGCCATCTGATCCCCTCAAAAGCTACAACTCCTTCAACCATTTTGGATAGCCAAAAAGCAGAATTTAAAAATGAGAGCACCCATACCAAGAAAGCATTATTTACTGGGTTCATGGGCTAGCCTCTTAGGTTATGGTTGTCAGAAATCACCAGCACTTTTTTCTGTGAAGTCAGGATTCCCTTCTGTACTCATACTAGTTTTCTATCAGAGAAAAATTTATCAGTTATTGTGTAGATTTGTCAGAGCCCCAGACATCCCCACTGTTCATTACAGTGGGATGATAGGGACCATTTTCTCTTCTAAGCTGCATAAAATACAGCACTGATTAAATGGGGAGCACAGCAGCTCTTCAAGACTGCTAGTGAGGACAAGCAAGCCTGTAAAGTTTCTGAGCAAGGCTGAGCAATATTTCTTTTTGCATTTCTTAGTATCTCTTTTAAACCAGGAATCATGTATGTTGGAGAAATAAGACAGTCTTTCAGAGTTGTCTGATTTTATGATCAAAGAAACCACTTCACAAATATCCTGGCATAATTAAGATTATAATTACCTTATTTTCATATATATTATATTCCTGTAGGTAAGATTTTTGTCATTCTTCCCTGCAAGAGCAGACAATTAATTTTTTTGATCCTTTGGGTTTTCAGAATTGACAAGCCGAAAGCCTTATCACTGTTATTACATACAGCAGATATCAGTCATCCAGCCAAGGCCTGGGATCTCCATCATCGCTGGACCATGTCTCTGCTAGAGGAGTTCTTCAGACAGGTAAAGCTAGGGAAGTTCTTTTCTCATTTTCTGCAGTTGAGAGGGAGTGTGTAGGATTGGGTAAGGAAGTAGGAAAATATTAACACAGATAAGTTTCTTTTTCTCTGATGTTTTTAAGAACCTCCCAGATGGTATGGAGCTTTCTCTTCTAGCACAATTAGCACTGGCTGTTATGCCTCTTAGGCATAGGAAGCTAGTGTCTGATACATTCCCTATAGATTTAAACATTACCTACATAGTAGAAATTCTAATTTGGGAAGCTAATAAGTCTTTCAAATTAGGAAAAGATGGAATATATGTCACTCAGCTCTAGAAACATAAAACCATGTTTGTGTAGTTGTACTTTAGAGAACTCTACTTACATTGTTGCAATGGATGTGAAAAAGGCTTACTTTGCCCTTACTTTAAAAGAAGTGAACTGATCAAAATTATAGTTCATAGTGGATCACCTGTTGACAGACCCACAAATCTAGATAAATCATTGAGCTCTGTGTGATGGTTATAAGGTTCTTAAGTGATTAATAAAAAGTATTTAAAGAATTAAAAAAAAAAAAGCAAACAGAGCACTTAAGGAGTGTATAGGATACTTTTCTCCAGTGTGAATTGCTAACCTAAGCAGTGCTAGCACTTAAGTGCTTATTTTCTCTGCAAAGCCCGATAACTTCATGTTCTATAGTAAATCTAAATGCAAAAGGGAAAAATATGACAACTCTTTAAAAGCTCAGACAATTTTAAAAAATGGTACCTGTTTTTAAAGACACTGCAGTAATCCCTTTTTTAACAAGGATATTGCAAAAATTTGCTTTTAAATTATTCCTTTGGTTTGTTTTTCAAACCAAGAATTGTTTTACTGGGTGGAAGCAGATAGCTCATACCTGCAACTGATTCTGTCTTGCCACACAGGAGGCTCATGCATGTAGGATGATGTTAACATGAATTTTAGGAAAAATCTGTGCGTATTTATGCTTTTCTAGCTCAAAGTTATACTAGATGTGATAAAATACATGACTGCCAAAGACTTATGAGGAAATTAAAATTACCTCACTTTAGGATGTGAGACAACAAAACCTCCAAGTTTTGATTTATTTTACACATGTAATGAAGACAATCTATAATTTTGTATGTTTTAAAGAGTATTTTAATTTCAGCCAACAAATTCTACCCTAATTTAGTAGATAGATTTATTTTTTTTTTTAGATAACACTATATATAAAACTCATATTCTAATTCCAAATTCAGCTGCAGCACAAATTTCCTCTTCAGGAAAACCATTAAGCTTACCATGAAGCATAGACTTGTGTTCATTGAAGTTATTGAGTACTAGATCAATGAGTACATCCCTACTTAATATTAGAAGAAAAACACACATCTCACAAATTGCTGTCCTAGTTCTGGCCATGACAGAGTTACTTTTTGTAGTAGACAAGAAATGGCATGGCTAGGATCTGGAGGTTATTCTATCTCACTTCATTTTCCAGGGATGAAGGAAGGGCTGTTTTATGAATTGGGGTGGTGTTCAGTGAGCATTTGCATGTGAATCACTTCCTCTCTCTTGAATTTTCTTATCTCATTGCTGTTTCCAGTAGATTATTGTTATTTTAATTGCTAATCTTTACCTTTGTGCCTCCAATTGTCCTTTCCAGCCCATCTGCAGGGGGAGGGGAAGGGAAAGGGGAAGAGAGGAGTAAGTGAGCAGTGAGCAGTGAGCAGTCATGGTTTGGAGTTTTTTGGTGGGAGTACTAAATTTAAGAATGCCATTCTTAAAACAGCCTACTTTGGCACCCACTGTGGGACTCAAAGAATTGAGATAACAACAGATGTGGCCACAGAGTATTGGAAACAAATTTGATCTAGGCATTAGGTTTACTATGTATGGAATGGTCCCAGTGTTGCTTGATCTGTTCACAAGGTTGTGGTACCTAACTCTGGTAGTGAAGCCATGCAACTGGGATCCCTGTCCTGGGGTGTGGGCATTGACAAAGGGATTGGGAAGAGAACAGAAACTCTTAGCCTCTGGAGCAACTCCCATCAAGTGTGAGAGAACGGTATTAATTCTTGCCAGTATGCTCTAGTAGTGTGGTCAAGCAGGGGGAAAGCTGTGGAGAAATGTATCTAGTACCTGAAAGAATTAGCTGCACTGCAGGTAACCTCTAAGGGTGCAAGTAACAAGCAGTCCCTTGCAACTCAGATCAGGTCCAGCTTACACAATCCATGCGGTAGAAGTTTGTATGCAGCACAGCATTGTTGTACACAAACTCATCAGCATGGATATCAATGAAGGAAAGATAATAAAGAGGGCTTCAGGTGACTACACTACTATAGCAGAATAAAATAATTTATTTCCTTCCTGACTGCAGACAGACTCAAAAAATTCAAGCATGTTAGAGGGGAAATGTCCTATGTCCCTCCAGGATGGGCCACAGTCTCTGCTATTGGAAACATGCACTCACTGGCTCGAGAGAAAAGGCACACACCATGAGATAACCTGCAGTTTTACCTGACCCCAGAGAAGACATGAGGAAGTGGGATGGAAAACCCACCCCTACCCTAGCAGCACAAGTGTGTGAATTGAGAGGAAGGACAACCACCACAGAAAATTCTTCAAGCATAAATGCTGCTCCAGTTTCCAGTGGGCTAGTTGTCAGACACAATGGAATGGAATCCATTCTTCTGATCCTCTTGAAAGGACATCCAGTTCACATTTACAAGACATGAACAATGACTACTATGACTAGAACTAGAGGGGCTCTGCCTCCAGCAGGAGGAAAGGGACAACCTGATCAATTGGACTGTATGGATCTGATTGATGGCTTTGTGCATCAGACCTGCAAGGGTATAAGGCTTTAGTTGACACTGGCACACCTGTACCCTGATTCCATCAAGATCTATAGGGACATGTTATAAATGATCAACAAGAAAGCCAAATTAATAAATGCAAAAGATTTTATTTTTGCGACTGAAGATATGGTTCTCGGAAGCCACAGTCAAAGAGACAGTGTCAAGCCTGGGATCGACACTGGATGAACCTAGATCCAACTTCTGTCGCATCAGATCTCCCTCTGTTCACAAATGCCGTCTCCAGCGAGGCTGTTTTATACAGTTTTTATCCCTGAGGCAGAGGTGCCCTGATTTCTTTTGTTACCCTGCATATGTATGAAGTTTCTAAAATTTTACTGTGCAGGGCTGGAAAATTGCTGTTTCCTGGGTAGTGGTGGGCACTGATCATGTCAGGGGAAGTCGTGTATTCAGATGTATGTTTCTCAATGAGTTTGGTTATCTTGATTGATGTTACTTATCAAGTGCTGATCATCCTTGGGTGTTCCCTGATGGTTCCAGGGAAGCCCATCTCCACGACAGCCACATTCTTTGATTAGTAAATGAAGCATTCTTCTCCTGCTGCCACCAGGAGTTTCATAACTTCAGTGTGGTAATCTGTCTCCAGGTTGTCCATGGTCAGAGGCTTGTTGGATGTTAAATTTATTTTACAGTTTTTATTTTTATACTTTTTCCTCCCTAAGCATGAATTACTTTACATTATATATTACAGACAGAATCTATCTCTGTGTCTGTGGTGGCAGGGGGATCCCAACAAGTGAATGTACTGGAAACAAAAGGCAGAAATACCCCATTCTGATTGCCCCAGAGGTCCTGAGTGTCCTTGGCATAGATTCACTCGGAGGGGGTATTTCAAGGACCCAAGAGGGCATTGTTGGGCTTTTGGGAAAGCTTCTGTGGAGACAGAGGAAATTAGACAGCTGAACACCTTGCCTGGTCTCTCAAAGGACCCTTCTGCTGTGGTACTGCAGAGGGTCAAAGAGCAACAGGAGCTGATCACTGCCACAACAGTGCATCATCAACAATACTGCACCAAGTGGGGCTCCGTGACCCTCATTCATGAGATGATTCATGAACTGGAGACACAGGGAGTGGTCAGCAAGATTCACTCACCCTTTAATAGCCCCATATGGCCAGTGCATAAGTCCAGTGGAGACTGACAGTGGACAATTGTATCCTGAAAACAGTCACACCAGCACTGAGAGCTGCTGTGATGGGTATGTTGGAATTTAAGGATGATCTGGAGTCCAAGACAGCAAGATGGTACCATCATGTACATTATTAATGTGTTTTTCTCCATTTCTTTGTCAAAAGAATGCAGGCCACAGTTTGCTTTTACCTGGAGGGGTGTCCCCTACACCTGAAACTGATGACCCCAGGAGTGGAAGCACAGCCCCACTATTTGCCATGGACTGATTCAGACTAAACTTCAAGAGAGTGGAGCTCCAGAACACTTGCAACATGTTGATGACATTATTGTATGGTGCAACACAACAGAGAGGGTTTTTTGGAAAAAGGAATATAATCCACATCCTCCTGAAGGTCAATTTTGCCATAAAGCAAAGTCAAGGGACCTACCCAGGAACATCAGGTTTTAGGAGTAGAATAGCAAAATGGATATCATCAGATTCCAGTGGATATGGTCAAAAACATAGCAGCTATGTCCCCACCAGCAAGCTTTCCTCAGTACTGTGGGTTTTAGAAGGATGCATATTCCAGATTACATTCAGATTGTAAACCCTCTCTAACAAATGACCCAGAAGAAGAAACATTTTAAGGGGGGTCCTGAACAGCAACAAGATTTGTAACAAATTAAACAGGAGATTCCTTGGGAGCAATAGGCCCAGTTAGGGCAGGACAAAATGTGAAAAATGTGCTGTACACTGCAGCCAGGGAGCATGATCCTTCCTGAATCTCTGGCTAAAGGTACCCTGGGAGACTTGAAGAAAACCCCTGTGATTCTGGAGTCTGGAATACAAAGGATATGAGGCCTGTTATGCCTCAACTGAAAAAGAGCAGTTTATGAAGAAGGAGTTCTAACTGCTTCAGAAGTGATTGTCACTGAAGTACAGCTCTTCGTGGCACCCTGATAGTCTGTTTTAGGCTGGATATTGAAAAGGAAAGTCCTCTTCACACATTCAGATGCATGCTAAGTGGTCTGTGCT